CGCGAGCTTACCTTGGTGAGCCAGAAATTTACGCATGCATGCAACGATACAACACACCCATAAACGTTACTATCGGAAACAACCCCCGACCAAATCCTCAAAACGCCGACCCTTCTACCATACACCTGCACTATCAACCACAATCACGTCATTACTCTTCCCTAATCCTAAATATCCCTTCCACCGACCATCCGCCTGTCGCAGCATGACAGCTCCGCCAACGCGCCAGCGCCGGTGGTTCGCCTCAATGATCGTCCCTGACGACCTTCACCATTTCTTCGACCCACACTTCGAGCGCTCCCTCATTGCGGACGCAGAGGAAGAGGCCACCGGCGACACCCGGCAGCAAATCGAAGATGATGCCAACTTCGAAGCGGAACTTCAAGACTACTACTCAACGTCCTTCCAGTGGCACATCAAAATGTGCCAATGTAGCCGTCCATGATAACGTCGACCCCAAGTTACTCGTGGGGCCAGGTGTATATTTCGTGTATATATGTCAGTAGCCGCGGACACGCTCAGTCTCGTGCTAATTATTTCCCGCGTTGTGGCATTGTCAGTAAGTCTTCATTTTTTCAGCCATTCTGTACATGGTAGCCGGCGAGAGCATATCAGGGGCCACCGTGGCATTTTGTCAGTAGTGAGTCTTCATTTTTTCAGTGCCGAGTTTGCGCGTGCGCCGCTGCGGCATACTGTCTGTTTTTTCCCGTTGTCAGCCAAGTATGTAGTCTCAGCTTTCGTACCATCAAATTGTAAGTAGGGAGTCTTCATTTTTTCGGTGCCGAGTTTGCGCCAACCTCTTCATAGCCATGTCTGTTATGCGAACGTCTTTGAGTGGGTGAAGAGTTCGAGTTACAATGCATCTGGCTACCCTGTCCTCATTTTGTAAGTAGTCACATCCGTTTTTCGCTGCCATACTGTACATGATTGCCGGCGAGTACATATTAGGGGCCACGTGGCATTTGGTCAGAGAGTCTTCATGATTGCAGTACCGAGTCTTATTTTTTCGGTGCCCAGTTTGCGCCAACCCCTTCATAGCCATATCGTCTGAAAGAGGGTGTCTTCATTTTTGGACATATTCCACTGCGTCCTTATTTTCAGTTTGTTCTGGGGATCACGCCCCATCAACAAATAATACATACGGAGTATTTCCTTTTCCTCCATCTCGGCCCGCTGTCATTCCACACTCAACACTCCCACCCTTGGTATGCAGGCTTACTCCTGCTGTGGAACCAACCAGCATCACCGCACATTTTTTACAGTAAACAGTAACCCGGAGGACGGGGGGGCCGACAGGCCCCCCACGTCCGGAGACCCTTGTAGTCTATATTCATAATAGAGTCTCGTTCTCAAGTTCACCGGGCTCAGTTCTCGTCCATGTGTGTGCGGTGTGGATAGTACACTGGGTCTCACTCTCGAAACGGCGAGATGGGAGACGAGAAGGAAGATGAGCAGACCGCAGATTGTTAAAAAACATACGTATTTCTGAATAATAGATTATGCACAGATAGCAAGTAAATGAGTGTGCAGACAGTTCAGTTTTGGGCACCCAAACGTATAGCAGGGAAGGTAGGTGTACTCTTCGGGCTTGTGTACCCTTTGTGTGTGCGTGTTCTATATAATATCCATCTTCTGGTGGTGGCTTTCCTTGTAGCATAGCACTTTTTTTTTTTGTGACCACGGACCGAGTCTTTCCTAGGTTTTGGGATGAGCAATCACACGAGTTTCACGTCAAGAAAAAACAACCAACAACCGATTGTCCTTAGGCTCGTTTGCCATCATTTTCCAAGCGCCACATTTCCAGCGGACCGCTCTCCTACCAGCGTTCCAGATATTCGGCCGCTGCCAGCTCGCCAATTTCTCCCATCTTCACTTGGATTTATAGTAGATATTTCGGGGATGCTTTTCCTTTCCGGTTTCTTGTTCGCACGCTCACTCCACAGCCCACAGCCGCGTAGTACTCACGAAGTCTCTCTCGCTCTGTCTCTCTCTCTCTTCTCTCTCTCTCGCTTTCAGTCTCTCTCTGTCTCTCTGCTCAGCTCATGCCCCCGGCACACAGCCCGATTCTTTCGAGAGACCTCTTTTTCTTCCGTTTCGGATTATTTTCTGGTCACACTCTCAGCTGATAAATAACACGCTGAGAGAAATAGTATTTAGTAATTCTCGCTTCGTCTCTCTCTTGTCTCAGTCTCCCTCTCGATTTCTCCCTCTCCCTCTCTCTCCCTCTCTTCTCCTCTTTCTCTCCCTCTCTCGATATTTGTCGGGGTCTTTCCGGGGGATCTTTCCGATTCGTTCCTGTTGCCATCACAGCTGTTGGGTGCTTTCGTGCCCCGCGCAGACGCTCCCCCCACTGCACCTCTACCCTCACATTACGATATTTATAGCTTCTTCGTTGTCCGTTGGGGTGGTGTATACCCGACGAACGCTGTTCTTTCCAACAGAACAATAAAGAGCAGCGTAGTGCTTTCTCAACATAGGGATGCCGATATATCTTACTCTCCCTTCTTCCCCTCGTTCCTCGACAAGCTCTTGCTTAGACATGGGTTGTAGCGAAGGGGGGGGTCTTTCTGGCGAGCAGCGTTAGACTCACCCTCAAGGGATGACCGAAACCTTCTTGCTGCTGCGCATCCGCCGCGAGGCGTGCGTGTGGTGGTGGAGTTGGGTCGGCACTGATGGGGTCAGGCGGGAAAATGTAGATGCGCGGGCCTTTCTGGCCGTCGGCGTTGGCAGTGATGCCCATCTCATTTTTGTGCGCGGAGGCAGACACCATCAGAAAGGTGGACGGGCATTACACGGCCCTAGGTTTGCTAGAGGGAACTGCATTGCGTCAGTAACCTGGCTTCGCCATCAAAGGAGGAGGGAGCAGGTGGCGACGAGCTGAACCTATTATAGTTGGGCTGGTTGACCATTCGGCGCGAGAATTTTATTTTTTTCAGACCAAGAACCTTGAGTGCAACGAGGGAGAAAGCGAGGAACCGACTGGGAAGGACAGCAACGAGAGCGTGTACGGACGGAGCAGGTCGAGTG